AGGCGGGTCCCATTTCTAAGGTTCTAAGATAGTCGAAGGGAGATCCCTAAGGCTAGATCCTAAACCCTAAGCGGAAGACTAGACCTCACTAAAAATTAGGTCAACAGCGCCAAGGGCCTTGCCCGTTTCATCCCACATAATGGCCGACACCGGCCAACTGATTTTGAAGAAAGGCTCCATCGACATTCAATTTGAGCCATCCTTTGTGGGGTGGGGGGTGGGGGCGGGGTGCAGTGACGACACTAGGAGAGAGGTAGTAACAGTCGTCGAGATTGGTTGGTGCCTCGGGATGGAAGAAAGGTGAGTGTTGATGGACCCTCAAGAACTGTAGCTGCCATAATAGTCGGTGTAGCATAAGAGCGCCTATGTTTCTTTGCATTTCTCCCCCTCCAACATTTGTGGACGATGTGACAGAAAATCCCGGCTAATGGAACATGTTCCTTGCGGGTAGTTGAAAGGTGTTGTATAGCAACAACAAAAGAGTCAAAAATAAGAATTTGAATGCCCCATTTCCTCAAGATCTGCTATGTTCTAACTAGGATTTAGCAACTACTCGCGACGTGATCCCGATTTCTAGCCACTGGGCAACCCCAAGGACATTCTCGATCCTCCCAGCCCATGGGAGGCAAGTCAACTGCAAGTAGTTATGGCATCGAGAAGAAGACGCCAACAAAAGATATTTTGACTGCTGCCGCCAACATCCTCACCTACTTCCGTCACTCTTATTGGAGTCTGTTTTGTGTCTTTATGCTTGTATTTTTGTTTGTTGATGTAATTTCAATCACAAGAGTCTTGTTTATACCCTTTTGAATTCAGTAATAATAATTATTTTTTTGTGATGGATTGGATAGGGAATCAAAATAGGCAAGACGGACCGGCGGATTTTAGCTCCCGCGTCACTATTCATTTTCATTGGCTAAAGAAAATATTCTTGTTTCATGACACAAAAGATATTTTCTTTCTTTTATTTGTTTATGGTTGAAAGTTTTCTTGGTAGACAGTTTGTTGCATATCTTTTAAATTGGTTTGAATAATCACAGCATTGTGATTGGGCATATTCTTTTGTGTTTCAAGAGTCAAGAGATGTATTTTTTACCACTATTTGTTTGAGGTTGAAATTTCTTGGTGTACTATTTGTTGCTTTAATTTGGGTTGTAAATGGTTTGGATAATCCGAGCATCAGTTGCTGGATACTTTCTTCTGTCCTTTCAAGGATTCATACTAGGAAGCTCTTTTAAGCATAGTGATTCAGAAAAAAATGCATTTGTAGTACATTATGTTAGGATTTTGTTTGAAAAGTGTAGATTTATATTGATCTAGTCGTTATTTGGTTCTCCCTTTTATCATTCGTGCTTTTGACATTTACATACATTGAGTTGTTAACTTTTACAGGTTATTCAACGGGAGCCATGGGAACACATAAAGGATGAGGATATTAGAAAGGCTGCTGCATCTTTCCGTGGGGAGATCTGGCAAGTACCCCCCATGTTTTCTGCCATTAAGGCGAGTAAATTGAACTTCTCCGTTATTTATCTTCATAGAAACGTATTTCTGTTGATGTGTTTTTCTTTCTTGTGCGTATGTCTCTGTGTTTATTTTCATCTTAGTAGCTGATAGAAACACATAAATTGAACTCTGTGTTTATTTTCATCTTAGTATCTTCATCTTAGTAGCTGATAGAAACACATAAATTGAACTTCTACATATAGTATTGTGCATCACATCTTAGTACTGCTATCCACTTTCATGACTGGCTAATTTTATCTTGAGAACCCGCATATTTTGTTTTAGGTGGGTGGCCAGAAGATGTACGATAAAGCAAGGAGAGGGGAGATGCTTGAGCTTTCGCCTAGGCGCGTAACAATCTTTGAGTTTGATATTGAGCGCAGTCTTGATGACAGGTTTGTTTGATTATGTATACATGCATAGATTTTCTTTTTTACTTTTTTAAGGTCTACTTGTTAATTCCTTACTATGGCTTTAGGCACCGTTTATAAGTATAATAATATTTTCTTTTTAATTGTTTAATATTCACGTGTTATTTCTTTCCAGATAATTTGTAAGTTGAAGACTCTTAAGGAATGTGATGCTTTTTTGTTCCTTTCCATTTTCACATACAGTAGCAATAAAAATTTGCTACCAACATAAGTTAGCTTTTTCTATGTTGATCAAATCAATAGAAAAACCCTGCAAAATATACTTTATTGTACTCCTTACTATAGTTTTATGCGCTGCTTATAGGTATAATCATTTTACCTTCTTTGCTTCTTTAATTCTTGCATGATATAATCCTCCCAGATAATTTGTTGAGTGGAATTCTTCTATGGCATTCTTTTTTTTTTCTTTTTATTTTGAAACATGGTAGCAATAAAATTTTATTATTCATCCTGCCGGCCTTTATTGAACTTTTATGATTCTTCGCTGCTTGGATTGATAATTTGGCTTCTTCTACCCTAAAATAATCTGCTTATTATTTATTTCAATTTATTGATTTTCTTGTGTTATTTATACGAGTTTATGCTACAGTAGAATTTAAGCAAGCACCTAGAAATGATTTTTCTATGGCCAACAACACTATTTTTTTCAATATCCAACCCGCGAGCTTGAAATATCAAGACAGGAATGATCGGTCAGACAGAGAGAGTACTATCTAAATATTTTCATTGCTAAAAGTTTCTTACATGTATAGAAGGCACCCAAATCATAAAAGAATCATTCTATATACAAAACATTAATTACAAAATTCATTTTAATTTAAAATTTTTTTCAACTGGCAGAAATATAAAAGCTGATGAAATGTTATACCTATCTCTTTGGGCTCCTCGATGGATGTAAATAAAATCTCTAAGATCCATCTACTTTTCCCTATAAAATTTTAACAATGGTGGTATGACTTGAAAACGACTCAATGGGTAAAATATCTTTAAATTACAATTAGTCATATTTTAAAATATTTTTATGCAATGAGACTAGATAGTAACACGAGTATAAATAAATCAATTTCATTGTTTGTTTATTTATTTATTTTATATAAATCATCCTTCAATAAATAAATAAATCAATTTCATTGTTTTTTTATTTATTTATTTATTTTATATAAATCATCCTTCAATAGGAGTCACTTTCTAAATGTGTATTAAAGATGAACATTTCATAACTCTTTCCAAAACCCAGAAAAAAGATGGACAATTATTTCTATTTTAATTTTAATTTTTTTTTACGTGAATGAATATGTTGCTTCCTTAGCATTATGGGAGTGACACATATTTAAATATTCATATGCATATATCATATATTATTATTTTTTTCTATTTAACATTTGCTTTAACCAATTTCAACATCTAAAAAATACAACATTTACTTTTTAAAAGAAAGTACAGTGAAAAATATTTGCAATCAATTTCATAAATAAAAAGAACTATTGTAAAATAAAAATATGTTTTCCCACATGCTTGGTCGGTTGGCCTTTCTCACATGAATCTATTCTTATGTTTATCTATAATAAAATATTGGATTTGATTAGATTCTATTTTATTTTTAACCTAAACATATTAGACACATTCGCTTGCAGTTTATTTGCTTAATTTGTTATTTGTTGTTTCATTTAAGTAACTAATAACACATCATTTTTAATATTAACTATTTCATCAATTTATTTTAATATATGAAATTATATATTACAATAAAATGAAAGAAATTTTATGATTTGGAAATCTTCCTAATTTTTTTTTCTTACATATTTGAGTTACGAATGAGCCATAGAACTTATGCTTAAGCTAATACACCTAACATTTATAAAATTGGTATTTAGTATTGTACGTGGATTTCATACCTATAGCCTGCTCTTCCTCTTCTATTTTAGCTTTCTCGCCAATAATCTAAACAATTTTTAATCAAAATTCAGAAATTTAAAGATTTGTTTTTTTTCCTCCATGAAATTTTATCTTAATTAGCTAGGAATGAATTTCTCTAGCCTAATGAAGATGAAATAATTAGAAACACTAATATTAGGTTTTGGACTTCTTACATAAGCCGAAACACCGATTCGTTTCCTATGTTACCTTATGATACCAGACTTAATCCAGACCACAAAAAAAAAAAAAAAACAAATAATATTACTAAAACAAATAAAAAAAAAAAAAAAAACAAATAATATTACTAAAACAAATACGCGTATAAACAATTATAACCAACACACTTGAAAGAGGAAATACGATAACACGATACAAGCAAACACGACTAAAGTGTATCCCAAATGCGATGGAGGCCAGCTAGGTTTGTTTTTTAATGGAGGTGGCTTGTGTAGAGGCAGATACTAGGAAAACCTATGATAGGACTATAGTTGGGCTAGCTTTGTACCTAAATGATATCGGAGTTAAATCAAATCACAACGGGAAAAAGAAATAATATTACTAAAACAAATAAATAGTTACAATCAACACAATTGAAAGGACGACACAAGCAAACACCGTCGAAGTGTATCCCTAGTGTGGTGGAGGTTGGCTAGATGGATCAAATTGGCTGGCGGGGTGGTGACAACAAAGAAACAATGATGGAAGCAAGCGGGAGGCGCAAAAATGCAGGGATAACAAGAATGGTGGCTGTCCCGGATAATGGTTGCGAGGAGTTAGGGTGGATAGCGGCGGGACAACATAAAGGAGGTGTTTCTTGGCTGTCCTGGGAGATAGCTACATGGTGGGAGGTTTGGGACAACAGGAACAAGGGGTAGTTTGGGCGGCAATAACGCCAGAAGGGAGAGGGAGGCAGTTGGGAGGATAGAGGCTGTAAAAAAACAACACTTGGAATGCTGTTGCGGTTGTTTGCAGCGAGATACGACGATCGGGAGAGATTTGGGAGGATGCGGAAGGGCTAGGAGGATGATAATCACCACCTCGGGGGAGAGATACATTCGGAGCACCACCCAATTCCTCAGATACAACCCTTAAAGGGGAAGACGGATGCCAGCGGTTGTTCTGACAGATATCTGAAATCTGGAAGACAAAAAAACTGAACCTTAAGGCAGCAAACAACATATATATAATAAATTCTAATATTTATAATTGGAAGAAATTAGAATAGGAATGAAATAGAATTAGGAAGGGATTATAAAAATACAACGAATAGAAAATGAAGGAATATAATTAGGAAAAGAAGAGAAAGAGGCGAGGAATAGAAATAGGCAAGGAATCAAATAAGAAAAAGGGACTGCGGTACTTTAGTAGTTGTTATAGCAATTACAATATCGTAGTCTGTAAGCTCCCGCATCACTGTCTTTCCTACCCTTGAGGCATCCAGGTGCTTCATCGGGCATCTCATGCACGCAGGAGAAGCCCCTGCTTGAGCTTCTCATATGTGGGAAGTATTGCTCGATTGGGGAGGTGCTGCTCGGTCTCCCCCTTCCTTGCTTGCGCCTTTGGCCCCTCTCACGTGGCTCACATAGTCACCCAAGCCGCTTGGCCTGCCTATGCGAAGGAGTCACTCACACTTTCTCCCTTCAGTGTCTTCTCTCTTTGTCTCGTTTGTGCGATTGAAGCAAACGCCGCACGGTATCCCTTTCTTTCATTTCGATCTTGACCCGCCTTTCCTCCTTAGCTCACTTTCTCTGCCGCTGCCTCGCCCTCTCTATCTCACTTGTTTTGTTCGAACAAGAGGGATAAGCCCTCGATTATAGCTGTGGGTGACAAAACTCGTTTGAAAGAGACCAGCTTCGCAGGTGTCATAACCGGAGAATTAGAATTTTTTCCCCAACTGATCTTTAGTTAATTTAATTAATAGTTAAAAGATTATTATTACAATTTTAAATATGATATAATATATTTATTTGCATTTTTTAATCATTCTTCTTGAGGAATTGATTTGGAGGTTACTGAGGGAATTTCTGGAATTTATCTAAATTGTTAGTAATGCAGCTTCTTAAGTTCTTAACATATGCTCTTGATTCTTTATTTTGTAGCATTTGATTGAAGCGAAAAGTAAGCATCGCATATTATTTTTCTAAACTTGAGGTGGTACCATGGCTTAGTAGGTGCAAATGAAATTACCAATGCAATCAAATGATAGATTATTACAGCTTTTCCATACAGCTTGTTGATGGATGACTCTGCACTTCATGTCATCATAAGTTTTGGGGCAATTATGGAAACATGAATGTGACAACCAACCTAAATATCGTATCCTATGCATCAATTCTCCGTATACTCATCTTTGGCTATCCTGTCTTCCGTGATACATGGACCAAGTGCTTGTTATAATTTGCGACTCCTCTAGCATTCAGCTTATAAGTTTGTATCAACATTATCACAAACACATTTTTTTTTTCCACGATTGACTTAAACAAGCAGTTATTTAAATTAGCGTCATGGAAACAGAAATGTTTTATTATCTGTTTTGATTACCGTTGGAATCCAGCACGATATGCTTTTTATTGCTGTATTTCAGTATAATTAATCATTTGCATAATGTATGAACTGCAGACAAAATCTAGTATTTCGGGTCTCATGCTCTAAAGGAACCTACATCCGATCCCTCTGTGCAGATTTTGGAAAGGCTCTTGGCAGGTTTTTTCCTCTCCTAAAGTTAAATTTAACATTTTTTCGTGTTAGGTGTTACTCATTTGTATTGATTTATTTGTGAAGCTCAACTCAAGCTGTGCACTTGCAAGAGGATGAAAGAATCTTTATTTTTGTTACATATAATTTGTTGAGTAGGCGCACACTTTGTATATCCTAATTTAAGAAATAATGACTATAGACCCATATAACGTGCTGTCTATTGTTTGTCTATCTTATTATGGCATTATCTATTATATATCCTCTTTAACATTTCAGTAAAAGTGATGTATTATGGCCTATAGAATTTTGAGGGTGAAGACAACATATATATATATATATATAGTCCTCAGACGAGAGCTCTGTTAGGGCTTTCGATGGTGATTTCGGTCGCAATTGATTCTACTGTTGCTCGAAGGAGAGGACCTTGCATCGTCGACTCTTGCTCCGTAGTCGGCATCTGCGCCGGCGTCACTGTCTCTAGTTTTCGTCGCAGTTCCCTCTCTCACGCCTACGTCGCGTGGTGCGTCTGCGTCTTTTTCGACGCTGCGCCACCTGCTTCTGTGTTTGCGCCCGATAGTGCGGTTTTTCTGTTCGACGCTGCTTCTTTTGCTGCAACTGCGTCTTTTGCTGCAACTGTGCCCGACAACTCTCTTTGCCGACACTTTTCTGACTGTCAGCAACCTCACTGTAGTTTAACGCCGACAACTCTCCTTGTTCTGATGACGCTTTCTTCTTCTTTGGTTGAGCCAGACAAAGTCTCCTTTGTCCACGTGGTGGGTAACCCTCAGATGGAGTCCGCGGTGATATTCCCCTCAAACTATAAGGAATGTCGTGAGGGTACAGATGATTTCCCTTTTGTTAAGAAGGGACGTAGGAAAGGTGAAAAAACAACAATCTTTTTCTCTAAATTAGAAATTTCTACCATGACGGAAAAATTCAAGTTTCCTCTTATTGGAAAATTTCAATAGGGACACCCTCCTATGGATGTTATCAGAAAGAGTGATCTTAAGTTGATAGACAAGTGAAAAGTGAGACTCATGGATGTGAGACATGTGTTAATTCAACTAACTGTGGATGAAGACTACACCAGAATGTTCTCCAAGAAATATCTTAATATCGCAGACAAATCAATGAAGTTACTCAAGTGGTCTTTTGATTTCGACCCAAATTATAAAACTCCCACTATACCAGTATGGTTTAGTTTACCTGGTCTCATTCTGCATTTTTTTTACCATCAGGTTCTCTACTCTATTGGGGCCATTCTTGGGGATCCTTTGAAACTAGATCTGCCTACTTTCAACCTAACCAAACCCTTGGTGACAAGAATACTTGTGGAAAGGGATATCACTTTACCTGATGTTACTGAAGTTTGGCTGGGCACAATTTATAATGGTTATTGACAACAAATCGTCATGGAGAACAAACCCCCATATTGTACCCACTGTAAGATGTTTGGTCATATTTTTGATAAATGCCACAGGTTTCATCCAATTTTGAAATATAAGGTTTAAGTGAATAATGATGGGTCTAACCCCACTGCTTTGGACATTTTAGTTCTACCTGGGGAGGACACTACCAGACAGGAGGTGTTTGTTGCCCCTGTTGTTGCCCCTGAGGA